CACTTATTTTCCACTGAAAATGGGAAGTTCTTCCCTGGGTCTTCCTCATGGGGGCTCCCGGCAGAGGTTGTGAACCTCCCCATGCTCTGTCCCAACACTGTGTTTTTGGAAGTTCTGCTACAGGAACAGAGACCAAAGGCAGAAGAAATGGTGGCACCATACTTTCCTCTCTTTTTCTTGTATTTTCATCACCTCTGCTGCTATTGTCTGGCTCTTGTTACCATCTCTCCTTGGGATTTTTGCAGTTGTCTTACCCCTGGTTACCCTTCTTCTACACTTGCATCTCTGCAGCAATGTTCAACCCAGATGTTAGAATGCTTCTTTGATTTTATGCAAAACAAACAAAAAAAGTATGTAGAGCTTAGCATTTGCCAGTTACTGTTCTAGTTGCTTTATAAATACTAACTTATTTATTCCTCTTAATGATTCTCTGAGGTAGATACTATTCTTATTTCTATATTACAACAGAAGAAAATGAGGCACAGAAAGATTAATTTGTCCAAGGATGCCTAACTCATCAGACATAAATCATATCCTGTCATTTTTTATTTTTTTGCTTAAAAATATCCAAAATTCATTGTGGTGCCTGTAGCTCAGTGGGTAGGGCACTGGCCACATACACCCAGGGCTGGCGGGTTCACACCGGCCCAGGCCTGCTAAAAGAACAATGACAACTGCAACAACAACAACAAAAGAGCTGTACATTGTGGTGGGCGCCTGTAGTCCCAGCTACTTGGGAGGCTAAGGCAAGAGAACTGCTTAAGCCCAAAAGTCTGAGGTTGCTGTGAGCTGTGATGCCATGGCACTCATGATAGGGTGACAGCTTGAGATTGTCTCAAAAAAAAATAAAAAATCCAAAATTCCTACCTTAGAGTATAACCAAAGTCCTCCCAGGGGCCTTAAAGGCTAGACACAATCTGTATCTGCTCTTCCCTACTTTATTTTCATATATATTTATTTTGTTATTTTGGTTTATCTCTCCCCAAATTAAGCTCCACCAGAAGGGAAGGCAGGAATTTTTGTTCTCTCTTTTTTTCCATCAGTGCCCAAAACAATGCCTTACATAGTAGACCCTCTTTAAATAACTGTCAGACAGATGAATGTGTCTCTTATTTACTGTATGTGGAAACAAATGTTCAAGACAGTAAAAACGGCTCGGCGCCTGTGGCTCAAGCGGCTAAGGCGCCAGCCACGTACACCTAAGGTGGCGGGTTCGAATC